AGATTTGCAGATTGGACTATGGGATGGGGTTACCAGGGGGAGGGGGTTGGGTCACATATTGGTATGTATGGTTTCACGTGCTTTTGCCTCAGATCTTGCTTTGCTTAGCTGCTATCTTTTCATGACCAGTAAAAGTACTCTTAATTCTGCAAAATGGAGTTAAGTGGTTTCTTTCTTGGTTGCTGAGGGAGGCTGGCCTGACATTATGTCTACAGTATTTCACTGGTCTACTAATTTAGTCACACTGTTGAAGAATGAAATAAGATTTGTTTGGCATGATTTAACAAACTCATGCTGACTGATAGTTATTACTTTACTTGTTTTCTAGATGTTGGCAGATCTGTTTTTTTATTATCTTTTCCTGTATCTTCTCAGATATTGATGTTAGGCTGATTGGTCTGTAGTTTCCTGGGTCTCTTTTTCTTCCTTTTTTGAAGATGGGAACCACATCAGCTCTTAGCCAGTCCTCTGGTAGTTCCCCAGTGTTCCAGGATTTTTGGAAGATGTGGTACAGTGGTACTGAGATGACATCTTCCACCTCCTTTAGAACTCTGGGATGTAATCCATCAAGTCCTAGGGGTTTGCATTCATCAAGATCAGACAGGTCTCTCCATACTATTATTATTTTTTGCTTATTTTAACTTTTATTTCTAGTCTTTCTTTTACAGTTATGTTTTTGGTAGGTTAGGCTACAGTTTCTTTTTGCGTTTATTGTAGAATACAAATGCAAAATTAACCTGAATAGTTTGCTGGTAATATCTCTCCTGTCCCCGTAGATGAAGATGTTCTGATGAATGTTATTTAAGGAGGAGGTGCTGATGTGGAACTTCCTTACTGGAGCAGGCAGCCTGCAATCACATCAGTCTAATGATCTGGTTTTTTTTAGATTCTTTCTTATACTTTTTTCTGGTCCTTTTAAGATTGTAGAACTCATTTCCTACTTTGTTGTAGATCTTTGATATGAGATCTATATAATCTCTCCTGGGATTTTGTTTTATACAGTTAATAGTCTTAGTAAGTGGCCATAATATTTGTGCAAAGAAGATTTATCTTTTAATAGGCACTTCATTTCCTTTTTCATAATTAATCAATTAATCAAAATCACTTTTGATAAATCAAGTATCAAGAAATGAGAATTTTGTTTCAGCCATATTAGCCATTTGTACAATTGTGAAATAGAAATTTAAATAAATAATCAGTAAAGATAGTAATCACTTAGTGACTGCCCTGGACAGTGTCTGTTCACAGTTACTGAAGTGCTGAAAAACTAATTCACGATCAATACCAGTATTTATGACCTTTACAACTTCTCTCTTTCCGTCACGTGTTTGCCATTCCAGTCGGTTAGTATGCATTGTCCTGTCCAAAATCGTAAGCACAGTTGCAGTTACATGATTTTCATTTAGGAACCACTTTGCTTAACAACTGAGTTACTGACCCCAGTTACAGTCACTAAATGAGAATTATAAGTACTCTAGGGTATATCTACTCTCTTCTTGCTCCTGCTAGGAAAGAATGTATGAGGGACATAGTACTATGAAAAATCTGTTAGATGGGGGGACTCTATATATATGAAAATATATGAATTGAGATCAGTAATGTAACTAGCACTCTGAGAGTAAGGAGATATTTTGAGTATAGACTTAGGTTACCGCCGTTCATTCAACAAGAGTTCAAATGGTGCTGAACAAGGGGGACTTATTACTGTTAGTATCCCTGTGTTCCCATGATTGTGATCTGGGTGCTCCACCTGCCTCGCAATTGTTGAAGCAAGCTGCAATCACATGATCACAATTTCTGAAGTTTCCTGCCAGCTATCCACAAACAAATTCAGTGGAGAAACCAGCAGAAAGTCAGAATGAGCAGAGTCACATGAGATCCTCACTTAATTAAGGCAACCAGGACAGAGGTGGGTTCCTACCAGTTTGGACCGGTTCGGCTGAGTAGGTAGTAACTCAGCCAGCCACATCCCTTGTTTTTTAGTTCTGCGCATGCACAGAAGCAATTTTTGGTACTTTGCATACACGCTTAGCGCAAAGCGCATCCCTGAGCAAACCAGCAGTAACAGAAGCTGGAACCCACCCCTGAACCAGGAGTGCCAAAGTGCCACTGCTACTTGACATAGCCATGTGATATCACACTTCACAGTACAATTGCATTGCTTAGCAATGGCAGTTTTGGCCCAATTGCTGCCATAAGCCGAAGACTACATGTAATGTGAAATAAAGGATGTGTATAATTGGCTTGGGTGGGAGTAATTTTGATATGCTTGATAGAGATGTATGAACAGGATACAAATATTATAAATGAAGAGGTGTATATGATATTAATTGGCATAAAAAAGATATTTCAAGGTCATGTCCCGTGGTAGACAAGTCACAAACCTGGAGCGTGGGAGATGGCTCAGTAACCTCTGTTTGAATTGCATGCTGTTTCATTGTTTTAAGATCTATCCTTGCATTAGAAATTCATGAGTTTCTCTCCTACATTGTCTTGCCTCTTCAACATTTCAAAGATGGCATATTCTTTTAACCCATTAATACTCACTCCATTTCTTTTCCATGCTAGAATGTAGAGTATTCTTGGTAGCAATAACTCAAAGTAGATATGAGATGTTGAAATCTCCTGAGCTTTCATTATGTTCTCTGCTTTCAATTTTTTTAGAACTTTTAAGTTTTGATGATCTATCACCTACCTCAGATAATTTATCACATCCCACTACAAATAGGCCAAAGATGCCTGGCAGAAGACTTCCTACTCGCTTCAATGGCAAGAATCCTGTGAGTACATGAACCACTTATATATAAATTACCCATCATAATAATTAAATTAACCCAAAACAGGTCCCTGCACACACTTTTGGGCCCAAGCCCAGCTCAAAGCCAGCAGCATTGGGACCATTCTGATCTCCAAAGGGAGAATATTCTAGAAAGTGAGTGCTATGGTAGAAAAGGCATGTCCTCTAGGCCCCAGCAACTGGCATTCCTTAGCCAACAGGTCCCAAAGCATGACCATTCTGCCTGACTGGATTGGACAGGTAGAAACCTTTTGGGCAGAGAAGGATGGGTATTTGGCTTGCACCTGGAAAATAAAAAAAAATATCAAGAGCGTTTATGGAGATTCTCAGTCATCCAGGTCATGGTTGTCCCAAAGATGCTTTTTCAAGAGACAACTGGACTTTTTGGTTGTTCTTTGAATTTGTTTTGCTTCTCATCCGAGAAGCTTCTTCAGCTCTGACTGGATGGTTGGGAATGATAGGATTTATACTCCTTGCAGACAGCTGGTCATTTGCATTCTTTTAGAGAGTTGTTGAGGCCACCTGGAGGTTTATCTGTGTCATCAGGGTCATCTGAGTGGTGCAAATGGGTGTGGAGCCTTCTTGGAACTGTTAAAAGGACTGCGTTATAAGACTGAAAATAGATAATGTCATATTCTTCCCCCTCTGTTGAGAAAGTGCTGTTCAATTTTGACATAAATGGCATCTTTAACCCCTTTTTCAAACTAATGGTCCTCTCTGTCCAAAATGTGGCCTTTTTGTCTTCAGTGGTCTGTGTCTTCTAAATGCAGATGAACTGTTGAATCTAGTCCTGATTGGTTTTTTCTCTTATGTTCTCCCTTGCATTTATGAAGTGGTTGTTTTGTTTTCCCAGTGGACAGATCTGTCTGGCTAACTGCATTATACTGTATATACCACGTCGCTCAGTGTGTGTGTGTCTGGGTGTTTTATCCTTGGGGTGCACAAGCTTCTTCCTTAGTGTATTCTTGGGTTTGAAGTGAGAACGTATGCTGGAGATTGTGTTGGCTGGAGATCTTCCTGAGCTTTTCCAATACTCTTGCAATGTATGGAATGAATATGTTGCTTTGTTTATTGCTCTGTTCGTTGTCTTCAAAGAAAAACCAGAAAGTCCAGTTGCCTCTTGAAAAAAGCACCTTTGGGACAACCATGACCCGGATGACTGAGAATCTCCATTGACATCTATAAATAAAATGTTCAAAGATCACATAAACAGACAGACAGGAAAATAGTCATTTACGTATGAATTTTGCTTGTGACACTCAAGTCACTTTACAATAAATATCCAAAGCATGTTAAAGTACTCCCACGCGAAAATCCTCCCTCCCCCAATCATTGCATCAAATCAAATCTAGTGAAAAAGAGAACATTATCCACCAAATGCCTGCTGAAATAAGATGGTGTCTTCTGGCTTCCAGGACACGAATGGGTTTGGGACATCACTCACTACATTCCAGGATACAATGCCTAGTAGTTCTCACTTGGGTAAAACTGTAATAGCATAATTTTTTGCAGATTGTGGAGTTCCCTGAAGCAGCAACCCCAATTGATCTCAGATCATGAATCACAAGGTGAAAAAGGTGGTTACTAAAGCATAGCTGGCTGTTTTGTAAAGAAATAGTTGCTAACCAACATCTTGAATTTTATTTAGGAATAAATTAAAATGTACCACATGATTTTATAAATGGGTATATGAAAAAGATTTTAGAGTAAATACACGTCTCAAAAACACTGATTTCTGTTTTATGTTTCCTTTCTTGGTTGAAGCCTACTGAGACTCAAAACCTAGAAAAAAATGTGAAAGTGCATAAGGAGGAAGAAGAAAGTGCCAAATTAAAATTATCTGAGTGTAAAAAGGTATGTTGACATTGTTTGTGTTTATCTGTACTAAGAAGTCAAAATGATTAGAATATCCTAACCATTTAGTAAGATACATTCTTACTGTAATATTTCAATGCAGTAGTTTTCAATCTTCACCACAAACTCCCTTTAAATACCTTTTGTGGCCACGGGCCACCAAGACTTAACTCAAGATTTAAATCGAAGCATTTCTTCAAGCCTTTGCAGAGCCCTTGTGATGACATCACAGTCTGTGGACCACAGATTGACAACCATTGTTCTAGTGCATTGGTACAGATTTAGCTTGAGTAATTATGGGTGGGAGATTATTAAAGTTAGATATTTTTTATGTCAAGCTGATGAAACAAAATAAATAGATACTATTATTGATTAAATAAAATATTATTATCTAGTTCAGTTGTGGGTAACATTGGAACAACAGCTTTTTGATTAGCTTTCCTCAAATTTCACATCTTTATCAAAGATATTTAAAAAACCATACAAATTTTGCTGCTGAATTTTCGGGATATGGTCTCAGGATGCTGGGCAGTATAAATGAGGTATTTGGGTATTCTGAGATTCCCAACCGACAGGTTGCCATATTCCCATCTTCTGATTATAACATATCATTTTTTTAAAATAAAAGAGACCACATGTTTATTCTTTATTCATGCAGCAGATTGCCAAAGAAGCTAAAATAATTTTGGCTTCCTTTGATATAGTCTTTCAATAGTTTTATTAATCATCAAAGTATTAGTCAAGCACCATCAGCTAATATTTTAAGCCATTATTCTATGTAAGAATATAGATTTTGCTAGTTCTTCAATAAATAGCTGTGGTGGCGCAGTGGTTAGAATGCAGTATAGCAGGCTGACTGTCCATAGTCAGGAGTTTGATCCTGGCCGGTTCAAGGTTGACTCAGCCTTCCATTCTTCTGAGGTTGGTAAAATGAGGGCCCAGATTGTTGGGGAAAATATGCTGACTCTGTAAACCACCTAGAGAGGGTGGTAAAGCACTGTGGAGTGATATGTAAGTCTAAGTGCTATTGCTGTTGCTTGGTGAATAGATTTGACTGTATTCTTGCCATCCTCATTTAGATCGCTGTTCTTTTGTTTCAGCCATCAAAACTTACTTCAACAGTTCTGACTTCATTACCACGACCGAGTTCTATTGTAATAAATACTGGAGAAACAAAGCTTAGCCAGGAGACAGATGAAGGGGGAAAACATTCTTTAGAAGAACTAAGATCTCAGATCTTTGATCTCCTGTTGGCTATAGAAAGCTTGAAAAAAGAGCATGGGTAAGAGCTTTTCATTTTTTCCACAATGATTTTTTAAAGTGATTTAGGCATCATGAAGTCTTTCTGGTATTGTTGTACTATAGCACCCATTATCACATACACTTGGTCTTGTTGTCTAGGGTTCACAGGAATTCAACAGTTGGTGAACCATGTATTACAGTTCCTACTAAATAGATAGATGATAGGTAGGTAGGTAGGTAGGTAGGTAGGTAGGTAGGTAGGTAGATAGATAGATAGATAGATAGATAGATAGATAGATAGATAGATAGATAGATAGATAGATAGATAGATAGATAGATAGATAGATAGATAGATAGATAGAAAAAACCTACTATATTTGTCATATTAATTCAATGTTTTTATAAATTTCCAGGATTAGTTTTTAAATGCTTTACAATGTGTTTGTTGATAAAGGGCTAGCTGAAACAACTTTACTTTGTTCATAAGTGAGAACTATGTATAATGAGTACTGCAACAGGAATAGCTGAGATTTTATTTTTGATTGCTGGTGTCATGTTTTATTGGATTATATATGAGTGCATACCAGAATATGATAAGATACTCAGATACTCATATCCTTGCTGGGTGAGGAGATTCTGCACTCAGATAAATATGCTCCTTCTGGTTCATAGAGGAAGTTTAAGGGGGTTGATACTGCTGTCAAGGTAAGCCATTCCTACTCTATTTGGGAGGTGCTTATCCGTTAAATTGAGATCTAACTAGTATATTGCACAAGCAATGTAAGGATGATTTTTCACTGCAATTTTTGTCTGTGCAAATTTTAAAGGAAACAACTGGAAAAACTGAAAGAAGACTTGGAGGAAGAAAAGCAGATGCGAAGTATCCTAGAGGTAAAATATTTAAATAGAAGTCCAACATTTCCCATCACTTTCAATAAAGTAATGCAAATTCTTAACAAGACCATAACAAAACAGCTATAGTAAAGTATACTTTGACTTTTTTAGGCATCTAATTTCAGGGAAAGGATGTATTTATTTATCTATTTATTTATTTTGACAATTTCCCTTCTATTCTCTTGAGATTTTCTGGGGTGATTTTAACCAATGAAATGGAAGCTCTTCTGAAGTACTATGAAAAGTAGCTGGTGATAAAATGCAAACATACAATTGGAGGAACAGCAAACTGCTATATACAGCCCCTGTTTATTGTGGCTATCAAATAATGATTCTTGATATACATGTAGTCCTTCACTTAAGATCCTAAATGAGCTCAAAAATATGGTTGTAAATCATGCCACTCATTAAGCAAGTCATGACCCACCTAATTTACAACATTTTTGCAGCTATTGCAAAGTGAACACAGCAGTTGTTAAGCAACTCATAGTTCTCAATGGCATATTTTGCTAGAAGGCAAAAGCAATCACCAATTTCCAACAAAAAACATAAATTAGGTTCACATGCCTATAGGATGTTGCAAACAACTATAAATGTGTGTTGGTTTCTGGGCACACAGAATGTGATCACATGAATGCAGGGGGGAGCAGATTTTGGAACTTTGAATGCCCGGAGAAGCAGATGTTGGAACTTGAAATGCTTGCTAAGTGACCAGTTGTTAAGCAAAGACTACCTATATTGTAATTGAATTTTGCCATTCAACTGTTCTTTTATTGAAACCTCAAATTCAGACTACTTGGTACATATTTGAATTTTCACTTTCATTGTGGCAAGATTGCAATTTTGGAGAAAATATTTTAAAGAAAAAATTGGTAAAAGACGAGGTAAATGTTAGATATTATTTCCAGCTTTACTATACCAATGACATCCAGTTTTAATTCATGTATTTAATCTCCATTTAATAAACTACTTTTATATATTTGTAGAAAATATAATTAGTGTTTTGTAGACTGTTAGTGATTGATCTTTTCCTGGCTTAGAATTTAAATAGAATTGAGTCTAATTAGTACTTGAATGCAAATTGACATAGAGCTGTCAAGGGTGCAGCTAAACAGAAACTTAAAAACACTTCCACATGTCTAAATAGTCACTTGCAGTTTAATCTTTAGAAAATCAAGATGTTTCAAAGATTCTAGGTAATCCACTCGTAGTTCCTATCAAAACTGCAGTCTTACAAGTTTGCATGAGGACAAATCCTCTCCTGTAAAATCTAGTATTGAAATTGAGGGCAAACTTAATTGTTTATAAAACTGAGATAATCAGACCCACAATTGAAAGCTAAGGGTAGAGAATAAAATGGTTACTTTAGATTTAAAATTTCATCTTTAATTGATATTTATTTCAGGCTAAATGTTTCCCAAAGAACAAATACTACATTGTACCATAGAAGACTGTGGTGTTAACTGAAAATTCTTTGTTGTTCAATTTTTTTTTTGTCATTGTCATGCATTTCTAAGATATCCAACTCAAATATTTGGCAGACATTCAACTCAAACAATGGGTGTCTCTGGGCAGCACAGAACAAAAGTAAACAATAAAAAATAGGAGGAAAATGTATTATGTGTGTTTGTCACCCTTTAGTTATTTCTAAAAATAATAAAGGTGAAATAAAATAACCACAAAAACATATGTTAAAAAACAATGCAAAATGGTAACCGTAAAATAATAACTCAGCTAGACCCAAACACTTGGAGGAAAAGCCATGTTTTAACAATTTTTTAAAAGGCAAGTAGAGTTAGTGCCCATAATATATTGGAAGGGATTATTTCGGATCATAGGAGTAGTCACCAAAGAGATGAACTTCCTATGTCCCATAAGAGGACCGTGTTTAAGCGAGGGAACCTGGAGGGCTGATGTTTTGGGGAACAAGCAGTTCCCACAGATGTTCTGATCCTAAGCCAAATATGGTTTGAAAAGTCTTAATCAGCACCTTGAAAGACACCCGGATGCCTGCTGGGAGTCAGTGGAGCTAACACTGGGGTGGCATCCCATGGGCATCATGAGCTCCACCATAACTTTCTGGGCTGCACCATTTGGACTAAATTAAGGCTTCAGGTGGTCTTCAAAGGCATTCTCATTGCAGTTAAGAGATTACTAAAGCATGGGTGACTATAAGCAAGACTTGATACAGGATCAGGCACAACTGGTACACATTATGCAGTTCAGTATACAAGAATTGATAATGCTTTATTCTGTACAAATGTATAATCTCACCCAGTGGCTTCATGTAGGTATTAAAGAGGGGAGGGAGAGAGTAGAGCCATGAGGCACTTTGCAAAATACTCATTAGTAGCAAAGCCTTGAATCACTGAATCCAAACCTTCAGAACCATACATACTGGGATTCGGTTTCTTGAGATTCCTTGAATGAATTTGTTCTTGGTATCCATTTTTGCTTGTTTTCTGATGTGTTTTATTTATTTCGCCCTTTTATGGTATTTATGCCTTTATTACATCAATTGCCCAGAGTTGCTTTATATGAGATGGGCAGCCATCTAAATCTAAATAAATAAGTTACATGGTAGAAGCTGTTGTGGTGTTGCTGCTGCAGGAGACTGTCATGGCAGAGGATAACTTATCCCAGTAATAAATTTCTAGAATATAATAGAATGAAGAGCAGTACTAAATTTAAAACGTATTTGATGGGTTGTAAATGTGTATGAAATATGAAACATTCTCTATTTGATTAATGTTTATTATTTATATCATTCACAGGTGGAAATAGAAAAGCTCAAGAAAGCTCTCGTAACTACATGAAAGAGCCACATTCCGTTGATCCTTAATGTGCCAGGATTTCAGAATCAGAAATGAAATTGACTTTTTTAAACCTCAAGCCAGCGGATGATAGCATTCCATTAGAAAAAAAATATCTGAGTATAATCTTATTTATATTCTGTGAGCTATGAGGGAAAAAACGGATAGTTTTTTTGTTTGTTTCTTGCCAATATAGGAGAGGCCTTATTTCTTACTGTGCAGTATGGCAGGGTTTGCTTGAGAATACTACTGAATCTGTATAAAAGGGGAGTTCTTAGTATATTTTTATTGAATATACCCTAATTTTAAGAGATCTGTACTATAAATAAGGCAATATAACTTTGCAAATAAACTGTAAAATATATAGTATAGGAGAGAGGCAAATGGTATAGTTTTGTACATTTATTAGTCTTTTCACCATGCTAAAGGGAATATGACGTTAATCATATGCTGTTTTATTGTTCAGGTCTTTTGAGTTTGTTCTCACTATGAAACAGAAGGATCACCTATCTCTAGCACTATGATATTGTAATATTTCCTTAACTGAGAATCCAGAGTACAGTACTGTGGTTCTTGCATTATAGAATTTATAGAAAAGATTATAATTAGGACACATGGACACATAAACACATGAATTGATATAATCCTAAAATACGACATTTTTGCTAATTACTACAGAATGTGACATGTTAAATGTTCTCTTGAGTGTTTCATTTCTTTTTACAAATTATAACTCTAACACTACAATATTACGAGCTTTAAAATGCTTTGCACTAATAATTATTACATTTTAAAAACCTACATATAACAAAATATATAAAGCTACCAGTTTTCTAAATGCAGTCTTAAAATAAGGGTATATCATCTACATAGTTGTTAAAATATTCAGTAAATCAATAGTAAGTTTTTAGATAAACATTTGGCTTATGCTTTAGAATTCAAATTGAATTACTGTTTATTTTTAACAAGGTTTCTTTGAGTCATCTTGTTTAAGTTATTTCTACAGCCTAAAATCCCATTTATTTTCTGTAAAGAAGAAAAACTTCTTCATTGCTCTGTTCAAGCCAAAGATAAAAATATAATTCAGCCTTTTTTTCTTTTAGCATTGCTATCCTAAAAGAGGGGACTGTTTCATGAATGATTTTAGGCTTGACTAAGTGAGTGGAATGATTTGATGCTTATGTCCTGTTTTATATGGCTTTAATATTTTGTCTTATTTGGGTGTGAGCAAACCATGTTGGTATTTTTAACATAAAAAAATCTTAATTCTAATTGCAAACATAAATCATTGGATTAAAATTGGAAATGAAAATATGGGTGTGTAAAGTCATGATGCCTGCTTGATTACTATACGGATACAGAGCTAATAACATATAACTAATATATCACTTAATGATCATCCTCTGTTGCCAATTTTCCTTAGTAATAGTAATAAGTAATGATCTCACATTATTAATTTTTAGCTCAAAGAGATTCCTTTCATACTAATTTATAAAGAGATTAATAATTCTTGGCTTAGTAATCAAAATCACAATTTGTGGGTTTATTGGCCTCCTCATTTTGCAGAGAATTCAGAGATGGGAGGCAGGTTTGGTCTTGAACAGATCATTTGCAAGTAATCCCCTGCAAAACTCAGTTAGGAGAAAGAGCAATAAGCCATCTTCTTCAACAAACATGGTGGATTGACAGAAAAAAAGTTGCCCATCCTCCAAGGTACCTAAAGTACCATCGTATATTGTTGCTGTTTTATCTAAAAAGTAGTTAGAAAAGCTTCCCCCACTTTTCTTTGTCATAGGAAAAACATGTTTTTTTTATATTTCTGTGAATAGCAGCAGTTACACATTCTAGGTGTCTTTTCAAAATCAAAAATTTGCAGAATAGAAACTTAGAAACCACCTGCCTTTTCTCTCCTAATGTTCATTAAAGTATTATTTTTCCCCCAGTACAAGGTAGCTTTTTGATAGCACCTTCCACCCTGACTTTCTATTTTCTTTAACCTACACACACACACACACACACACACCACAAACCACACACACACACACACCAAGTGAGAAAGCATGGGGAATTTCAAAACGTGTCTTTGGGTTTACGAAAAAAATAAACCCAGTCAAAGCAACAGCAACGAGAGATAGTTCATACTTTCTTGGGAACACTCCAGCATAGAGCAAAGCCGTCTTTTCTTTTTTCCCTACCCATCACAGAAGGAAGATTTTTTTCCTCCTTTTGCAAGGATTTTTTTTTAAAGTTGCAAGGCTTTCTTCACCAAAAATTCACTTCTTCCTTCTGGTATCTTCTCCATTCTTCCTAGGATAAGAAAAGGAATGAGTTTCCCCTTCCCTTCATACTTTTGCAGAAGCAGAAATAATAAGTAAAAATTGTGCCTTAAAAAGAAATGCCTTACTTGCACTAGTCAAAACACAGTTCTATTCCTCCTCAAAGCTGTACTGAATTGTTCCACAAGTAGAGGTTTTGGTGCAGTACTGAAACTGGGCAGAGTGGAACAGCACACTCAGTAAGAGGGGATGGATGTATGATCTCTTAATTGTTCAAATTCATCCTAAATTAAACAAAATGGCCTTGAGTGTTGAAATTCGAGAAGGTTTTTTTTTCTGATTTCAGTTCCGTTACACCCTATCATGATTATGCAAACAAGAATTGTTTTTGATTTTTAAAAAGTCATTTATATACTCCTTATTTAGAACCTGAATGTGAAGCAGAATAGGTTACTGTAAAACAGTTTTTTTCTACTTTGAAGCTTATAGCAGATAAATTTAGGACAATCATGGAACTCAGAAGTGTTAATTATTATATTGTCTTCTTTCCTGTAGCAATAAATAACCAAGTGCAATGACTGATATAATAACAAATCCTAGAGATTGCCACTATGAAGGTTTTTTTTTTAAAGTGATGGCTGTTTTCTCTAATGTCTGTCTTTATGCTCTGTGATGGGAAATGGGACTGGACGCAGACATTCCAAAGAATAAAATTTATTTCAAGCAGGAATCTTTACTGACTTGTTTACAGGTGCTGCAAAATTATGTATGCTATCAAAATGCCACAAATAAAATTATATGCTGTTAATGTGAAATGTATTTTTGTTTAAAAGCATTCAAACACCTTTTATGTCATTCATCTGTATTTGTGTACCGAGAAAAGGACATTTGTGTGGTTACAAAACATATAATTCTATTTACATGTGAGAGATGAGAAAAATGAATTTTGTCACCATTGGTTTTCAGTATTTAATGTTTAAGATGTCAATGCAATATAGTGCAATCAATTTTTATTAGGTATAATAAGATAACATTATTTAATGATATCATAGTCTTGAATTCAAAACCAATGAATGGAAATATTAGGGAAATTTGGAAATCCAATTAGTATAAAATTGATGAGGTAAAAGCTGAATGCTTGGATATTCTTACTCATTGTGAAACAAAATAGAAATTATTTTGCATGTCTCCTGGACCTCCCACCCCCTCTTCGGGGCATAAACCAGCCCCACGATATTGTTCAGTCAGTGAGGGGGTTCGGCACCCCTCCAAACAGCGGGGCCAAAGCCTCCGCCTCTCGCACCGAGCCGTCGCCGCCGCTTCCCAGCTGTTTAAAAAGGCCGATGTAGAAAGCCACGCCAGGGGGGATATCGTTGTTCCGGAGCTGTTCCTGGAGCCGCTCAGAGGCGGCCCCCTCCCCAAACAACCACCACCCTGGGAAGGCTGAAGGCTGGCGCCCAAAAAGAACCCCTCCGTTACCATGTTAGGGGTCCTGGGCGCCGCGGTTAGTATCTTCTTGTTCTTAGGCATTCGGAGCGGCGGAGTTCGGCAGCCATTCTATTCTCACGCATTGTTAACGAGAAGGCCAATTTCTAAGATCTTGCCTTCACCAATTCGCACAACTGCTCATCCGCGCAATTTTTATCTGGTATGATGAGTGTATGGGATTGTATGTGGTTGAGTGAATGATCCCACTTTTATTATTCATTATCATTGTATTTTATGTGTTTTAACTTTTCTGTGGGGACTGTTTGGGTGAGTGAATGAGTATGTCTGATTCGGAGGACCTGCCGGGAGAAGCGGGGGCCATGGGGGTGGTTGAGGGGACTAGAGACACGGGAGAGGGTCGGGGTATTACGGTCGTAACAGGGAGGTGCAGATACGACAGGGACTTTAGGGCAGGCCATTATCGGGGAAGGAGGGTTCGCTACATCACAGAGATCCCTCCTTCCGGCCCTATGAGTCCCACTCCGAGACCAGATGGCGCAAGTAATCAGGACCCTGGACTCAGGCTGCTGTCGCTAAATGCCAGGTCTGTGGTACATAAAGCTCCTCTCGTCCGGGACTTGATAACTGATGAGGGCGCAGACCTGGCATGTATTACTGAAACCTGGCTGGGCCCTGAGGGAGGAGCCCCCCTTGTAGAACTGTGCCCAGAAGGATTTCAGGTGCTGCACCAGCCGAGAGCCCAGTGAAGGGGTGGGCGTGTGGCCATTGTTAT